CGGTTTCGGTTTTCACACAAGAAAACCGAAACCGACCCGAACCATCGGTTTATGAATTTGTACAACCCGAAACCGACCACTGCTGATGAAAACCCGGCCGACTCGGGTTGTCACCTTTGATCCAAAGACTGGCATTTGGTATGTCTCAATGGATGTCACCTTTGATGTGCTTTCTTCCTTTTATGGTTCTTCTCTAGAGAGACATTGTCCAAAGGGGGAGGATTTGTCACAGGTGTTTGCTCTTCCTCTTCCTGTCCTAGTTGAGTCTTTTGCTGAGTATCTTCCTCCAAATGAGTCAAGGGAGGATCAATCACTTCACTCTCATTCTAGTGTTGCTATTCCTCCTCCTTTACCTTCTCGCCCTCTTTTTGATCCTAGGTTGTACCAACGGTAGAGAACCAGAAATGAGAAGATTGTTTCCTCTCCAACACATGAGCCTCATGCACTTCCAGTTACAGATGAGACAACAGGTACTGTTACAGTCCCTTTGGAGCCATCATTCCCAGACCTTGATATCCCCATTGCTATTAGGAAAGGAAAAAGGAAGTGTACTGCACATTGCATTTCCAAACACCTTTCTTATAGTTTGCTCTCTCCTTCATATTTTGCCTACCTTTCTTCTGTTGCTTCTAATCCAATTCCCAGGTCTGTGTCAGAAGCTCTTACTATTCTAGAATGGAGGGATGCTATGAGAACAGAAATTGATGCCCTACACAAGAATGACACTTGGGAAGTAGTTGATTTTCCTGAAGGGAAGGATCCAGTAGGCTGTAAGTGGGTTTTTACTATCAAATATCATGCTGATGGCACCATTAAAAGGTACAAGGCTAGGCTGGTTGCAAAAGGCTATACACAGACATATGGGATTGATTATCTGGAGACCTTTGCCCCTGTTGCCAAGATAACTTCTGTGAGAGTTCTGCTATCTTTGGCTGCACACTCAGATGGCCACTTTATCAACTGGATGTAAAGAATGCATTTCTGAATGGAGAGTTACATGAGGAGGTCTATATTGTCTCTTCCTCCAGGGATATATGAAACAGATATGAAAGGAAAGGTCTGCAGGCTGAAGAAATCTCTTTATGGACTCAAACAGTCCCCTGGAGCATGGTTTGAAAGGTTTAGGGCTGCCCTTGTTAGCTTTGGCTATGTACAGACACAGTCTGATCATACCCTCTTTGTGAAGAGGAGAGGATCCTTGGCCGTTTACCTGATTGTGTAT